TGAAGAAACAAAAATTATGCTTTTTGGGGGAGGACTGCTAGACTATGTTTTCTTTTCTTCCGGTGAAGTGAAGGAAACAATTCAGGGGAAGAATCGAGCTGCAGAAGCAAGGTATATGTCGAAAACAGTTGAAAAAAGGCACAAATGGCGGATTCGGGTCTTCCTTAGCCAGCATGCTTTTAAGAAGTAGTCTAGAAAGAGTGTATTTCCCCCCCAAACCTTCCACCTTTCCCAGATAAGGCTATAGCAAAGTAAGAGATAGATTTTTTTATTTTATATGGATGTCCAACTTCTCCTAGTGCTTGCTCTGGTCCGCCCCTTACCATAGGCATAGGGGAATTTGATAGTACGCGCGCCTTTCTAGTTTGAATTTTTTTGCTAGTTTGCAGTCATCTAGTTCAATTGCTTCTACTTTCTTTTTAAATTCTGCCTTAGAGCGAGTTAAAGCCAGGCTAGTGACACCATTCAAAAGGAATTGAAAGCCAGTAGTTTATCATAAGCCCAAGGCTAAATCTCAGGGGAAGGATTCTCGTTAGCCAGCAAAGGCTACAAAGCGGTGGGAAAGAGCTAAGGCTAAGGATAAAAAGAAAGCTTTTGATATTTTTTTATAGGCTAGCCAGCAAGAGCAACTAGATCAGGAGTTTAATTCATAGGGTTTGCTAGATCTGTAGTGGCATTCCTAGTAGCAGTCTTTCTAGACGTCCCTCTAGTGGCCATTGCTAAGTCCGCAAGTATACCAGTTATACAAAAAACCCTTGCAGCAAAGCCAATTGCAGTGAGAGAGCTCTTTGATTTCCCCAGCTAGTTTGAAAGCGCAGCGATAGCAGGGGAGAGCACTTAAAAAAGGGAAATCCCCATTAAAATAGAAGAAAAAAGGTATGAACTTCAACTGGCGAACGCTGTTTGCAGAAAGACGCGTTAACCCTTTCCCATATCAAACCGGGGAAGGTAGGAGGGCTGGTTATCTCTACCTTCTGACCTTGCTATCCCTAATACTGACCAAAGCAACTTGGGGTGACAGTCAGTCATTTCCTTGTTTGACATGGCATTGGCAGTGGAAAGGAAAGCTCGAAGAGCGAGGAGAAACAGTAGGTGTAGGTGTAGTAAATCTTTATTAGGGAATCCTTTGTATTGGCTAATCTGTTTTTCTGGTTTCTGGTTGATTCGCAAGTTCATCTCCTTCTTTCTTTGTGGAAGGAGCAAAAGTGACATATATATAACCCCACGATCAAATGCAGTAAGTAATCCCGGAGCAAATGAACTCAAGAGTGAAGAGCACGGATTGCAGCTGAAATGAATGGAAGGTTTTAGCCGGGGAGTGGAATTCTTTTTTTTATTCTTTTTTATTTAGGCAACTTAATGACAAGCAGCGGACTGCCAAGTCGGAGTGGAATGGGGGTAACGCGGACGACCTTACTCCTGCCTCTCCAGTATCCGCTTTGGGTGGGGCAGGCTGACTGCAACGCTCATCGCGCTGCCTTTCCTAATTTGAAGGGTCTTGACTCATAGATTCAATTCACAGGTATTCGTGGAGCACTAAACGAGATCGAACTCAGTGGATAAAGAATGCTCCCCGAAGTCCTCAACCTTAGTGGCGTACTACATGACTCAATTATTATCAGGCCTATGAGATAGAACGAAGGCTTCTGAGATCGTTAATCTAACTATTGTATTCTATATGTTATTCTTAGGCTTACGAGACAGATCCTAAAGCAATTCTTCCTCCACTTCCCTACAGGTCTCTGTAGCGTATGGAATGGGCAAACGAGGACGACCTTACCGTTTATTCTTTATTTTCATTTTGGTATCTGTTGTGCGAGACAAGCGGACTCTGGCTCCCTCTACACCATTCTCCCCAATTGACACGTCCTGATTTATAGTCCCAAAACGTAAGGGAACAAGGCTCGCCTTCCCCTCTCCCGCTGGTATCCGCAGACAACCGACTGCTGTAAGGAACACGCCCTTTCTCTTTCTAACGAACTGCTCTGATAAGACCATACGCGGGGAAGTGATTTACCGGGATTATTTGGTTCTACTGGAGCAATTGATATGTCGGCAGGGAATATAGGTGACAGCTCACTGGCTCTCGAAGCCCTTTTCCGGGGTAACCAAGTATCATGTTGCATGAATCAATCTTTCTTAGGGTTCCCTAAACAACAATTTTTATTTTCTTACACTATAGTGATTCTTTTTTTATGGTATAGATTCTAATGCTAGAGGCTTCTGCCATCGGCTTTGTTGCAGTCACGAGCTGCTTCGTTTACTGGAGCGTACTGCCTATTTCATGGCCACCCACAACAGAGGAATGGGAATTCTAATTCTTTTATGTCTCATCTCATGGGTTCCCAATCCAAGTCAGTAGATAAGGGGACGAAAGAACTAGAAAACCACTTCGTCGGATCGTCCTGATGAAATATAGGACTTTGTTTCCCCGGTCGATGCAGAAAAGTAGTCACGGATCGAGAGCTTCTCTCGCTCCTTGTATTCTATGTACGGCACTGACCGTACTATTTGTACTATATCCAAACCATTTCTATTCACTGATCAGGGACTTCCCGATGAAAACATAAGGATAAGGGGCTTAAGGCGGAGTCAAAAGAGGAGTTCATTCTTTCTTCTCTTGCTCCAGCCCTCTGGGTAAGTTACCGCTGCTGCTGGGGAAAGAAGCTAAGATCAATCAAAGCGGGACAATAGCAAAAGTCATATGATGGCTGCCTATTCCACTTTTAAGACCGGTTAAGAGGTCTAGACGTGCAAAGATATCTCCGAGACGGAAAAGAGACTCCCCCCTCTTCTGATCAGGACAACTGGGCTATAGCCAGACTACGTTGGTAATGAATGGATGGAAATTACACGCACTAGAAAACCTAAATTAGTTGATTAAGGCATTTACCGATCTTCGAATACGTGAGGAATTGCCATTGGTTGAGCTACTTTATATACTATTGTCTCAGGTAAGACTTGACTTGACTCCCTTCTTTAATTCTACATTCTTGAATCTGGGCATTTCTCTTTTCATTCGCTTTTCGAGGGCTTCCCTCTCCCGATGGTCGAGCCACTTCGTTTCGTCGACTCAACCATGACTTTCTAGGCATTTTAGTAAAGAGGTCAAGGACAACCTCACTCAAGAAAGCTTTCCTAAAAGAAAGAAATTCTACCACAAGACACATCTTAGGATTGGTATTTCCATTAACGCGATGCCTCAAAAAGTTCTTACCGCTGAAAGAGTAAATTAGTCCGGTACGCTCGCTACACAAGAAAATCAATAAGTTAAGTAAGGGTCTGGTGATTGTCCTTTCCGGCTTTACCTTCTATTTAGGAGTCGCTGCGGGCATCCGGGATCGGTCCCGCTACGCTAAGGCTTGTTTCCCAGAAAAGGTTCATTGATTTGAGATTACATAGGTCATCTCCATAACAAGAGTCAGTAGGAAAGTGAAGGAGTGGCCTTAGTCTATCTCATAGGCCGAGAGCAAGCAAAGCCAAGGACAATCTCGCTCAAAAGAGCAGCAGGAAACATCCACGCGAGGATATTGAACTCGCAGCACCTAATGGAATGCGCCCCTGCGGGCGGAAAACTACCTTAATACAATATATTCTATCTTTTCTTGGGAATACTGCTTATAACAGTGGCACAATGGTTCCTAAAGTAAAGTACGAAAGCCATTCCGTTCGTTACAGTAGTCGGTATCTCCAGGGGAGTCCAGAGCGTGTCAGATTAGTGCATCTCGTTCCAGCGCAAGCTTTCCAAAGTAGAGCATAAAAACCACTTGTTAATTACCAAGTCAAAGGTCAATGGGAAAATGAGAGTTGAGTCTAGTGGCTAACTCATAGACCTAAGAACAATAGATACATACTTGATGAAGCGAGTTGCTAGATAAAGACTTCCAAGCTCTCGGGTAAAGACTTCGGCGCATACAAAATGATCGATCAGAATGCATATCAGTAGCTCCATGGGAATCGGGGGGTCGGTAGATCGCTCCTGCATCCCTTAAAGTTCGCTTTACTTGGTCGAAAAGATCGCAGTGTCAAGTCCGCTCTTGACAAGCAGTCCCTTAGAAAGGATCCGGTAATAGCACTTCCGCTGGCAGCTATCATATATAAGCTATCCGCAGAATCTTAGACTGATGTTTCCCTCTTTTCCACATTGGACACTGGAAGATGGGTTCAATCGACGGGTTGAGTGGTTGTTACCTCGGATCTGTTTCTTTCCAGTACAAGCACTTGATTGTTACTCGTTGGTTCCTTTTTGGGCTTTGCTTGAATCTAAACAACTCGGGAGTGAAAAAGGAGAATTTACCTGCCATTGGACTACGAACAAGAACCTTTTGAGCACACCATTGGTGGTATTAGCCGCAAATAGGATTCGAACCTACGTCCCCGTACCCCTTAGATTAGAGTTACCCAGTGAACTTCCGTTGTTCCGTTGCGGCCCTGTCGAGACACTGTGTGCCATTCGTTGACCATTGATCCGACCTTTTATAAGAAATTTCTCAATCGATCGTGAAAAGAGCAACCAACTCTTTAATAATCCACTGATCTAGACTTCATTCGGTTAGTTTAGAGTTGGTGGAACATCCTTCTTTTTAGAAGTATTTGGTCGTTATCCCGACGGGAGAGAAGAGTCAGTTAGCCCGCCTATTTATTCATTTATTCATTTATTGGCGGGAGCATTCCTACCTGTTTGAAAGAGAGCCAAGTCTCGAAAGCAGCCCATTAAATTCGATTATTTTACTTATTTATCCGTTTTTTATCCGCTCCTTTTTCAGCTACCATACCAAGACTAGAGGAGAAGGGCAAGTATTTATATTTGCTTTATGGGATATATAATTGATCTCTTTTTCGTATGTTTTATGATTCGTATATGTAGGGATATGGGCGCCATCCTTCTCAGTTAAATGGACTGCTCTTCTCGCTGTTTCTGACTCAATACGTATAGAATAATTATAGCTAGTCTTCCTACCCCCTTCCCTGGCCGTGGCTGGGGCGAATCGACGCACTTATTACTTATTCACTTTGGTAAGGGTACCTGGTTTCATAACCGGTGTCTGTGGGTTCGCTTCCTTGCTTTGGATGTATCCCTCGATCTTACCACTTCCGCATCTGCTACCTCATCAAAAGCAACCGAACTTCCTGACCTTGCCTCTGCTACTACCTCGCTACCTGCTTCCCAATATCAGATAGATTGCATTCCTTCAAGCCCCTTTCCCAGAAAAATACAGTAATAAAAGGTAAAAGACGGATCCGCGCCTCAATCAGGTCGTGCTCAGTAGTGGTGGGATTCACTAAACCAATAGAAAAGGGCTAAACAAGTCGATCTGCTAGTCCTAAAACGTATTCTTGTGGTAGGGCTCAGCTCAGGGCGAGAAGCAGGTTTTGAAAAAACTCGTCTTTCAGCAGCCAAGAACATGATATAACACATTCAATCTTTCCGGGAAAATACCCCTCATTGCTCCGTCCCGTTAACGCCTATTATCGAGTGCTAAGCCACTCGCTGAATTACTGCTTGCAGGTCCTGAAGAACGGAAGTCTGATCTTTACATTCATTCTCCTGGGAAGATAGATTATATAATTAGGTAGGTGTACGGCTGCTGACAGGAAAAAGCCGTCCAAGAGGAACGAGAGAAGTGTAGCCTTTTGAGAGTAAAATAGGGTGCCGGGTGGCTAAGGTAGCAATGATCGGCTGCGCCTCACCTTGTTATCCGGTAAGTGGAACCCTGGGGACTCCCGTGGATGGCACTTGATGAGGTTTGACCGCTCATACCTCTTCTCTATTCTGTGTGTGGGCCAAGCTACTTTCTCGTCGATTGAACTGTTTTTAGGCCCCTTATTGCCCGATTTCATAGGTTTCGCACTGGGCTGGTCTCAAGGTTTTCAATGATTTCCCTGGGGGAAGCACCACTTTTTGCCGTCTTCTCACCTACCTTATAGGATTTCTATTAGTGGAGATACCTATTTTTATAAGGCTGGATAAAGCTTTTTCGAATCTCTCTCGTTGACATCGAAATTCAAATTATTCCTAAAATGAGACTGATTCCACGGCCAAATCCGACATATAAAAAGGCCCCTTCGATCTGTCTGATGTGCAGGGGTACTTTAAACGAAAGAAAAACCCCGGCTCGGCAAAGCTTTCCGCGAGTCTTTGTGTTTGGCTAGAAAGCCCAAACCATCGGTAACGAGGAAAGGGGTCAAGCGCAACGGGCGCATCACATCATTCAATCCAAACATCTCTAAAATAAAAGCCAAGATCATATATCACATTAGTATAAAGGATGAGAAAGGTGTGCTTGTTCTCTGTTCATGTAGGTCAGGAAAATGGGAAACATGTGATTCATGATCTATGTTATGTAGGGGTAAAGTTCATCCATCATTCCATTCTGTAACTTCCGAGAGTCAGTCTCAGCCAAGGGAAGAGCCATCATATGAGATGCACCATCTAAGTGAATGAAAAAACCAATCTACTTTGATCACCTGGAAGTTCTGTTATTTAATATTTGCCTTCGGGTTGACTTCCATCTGTTCAAAGGGTGTTGGTTTCACCTCTCTCTTCTGCTTCGCCTCGCTTCGGAACTCTATTCTCAAGACTCTGTCTTCAGCACAGCTTCTTTATTCCTCTTAGCTATCGCTTCGGATGAACCATTGGTAACTAGAATTAGCACAAGATAGTTTAACCTTTAATTTAATGCATGAAGTTGAGAAAGAACATAAGAGAGTTATCGCAAAGCAGCTTGTAGATCAAGAGAGGAAAAACGGGACGGGACGGCTAACCGCTCGAAAGAGGGGGGATCTTTCGATCACTCTGTTAGATCCAAGGCACGTCTTCATCAAGCTCTCGAACAAAGAAGATATGCACCAAAAAAGAGAAGTTTTTGATTGAGGGATTGATGCTTAGGGTTTTCCGCTGGAGCCATGATTTCCGTCTCCGCAATGGTGATCCAATGCATGCGCCTATTTGGGTCTCGCGACCCCATCTGCCTATTGTCTTCTTCTTTGAGTTTCGCCTCTTTTCTATCGTCTCTTTTTTCGGAATTGGCCTGACCGGTCCTACGAAGCTTGTCTCACGCCCCAACGCAGCTAGGGTTTGTGTAGAAATCGGTCTTCTCTCAAGGCAGTTTACTTGCTTACTTGTTAGAGTAAGGAATTTTTGTTATAGATAATAGATGTCCTTCGCTTCATCTGCACGGTGTAATAAAGCAAGGTAAGAGGAGCATATAAGTCAGGCTGCTTAATTAATGTATAAGACTTAGATCAAGCTAGGGCTCGTTCGCTTAGCAAATCTCTAATTAGTCTTCTCTGGTGTCGGCCACAGTCCAAGAAGTAGTCTTTTCCCATTTGCTAGCAACAAGAAGAGAGTTAGGGATTCGGCGCTTATAATAAGAGAAATAAATCACGCGGACTCAAGCCAGCAAACAAAAGACTTTTTATAATATATTTTAGGTCGATCACGGATTCAAGCTATAGCAAAGAAGACTTATAGTCGATCCGGGACTGAGATGCAAAGACAGAGGAATATGGTAGAAGGAGTACAACAAGCAATCAAAGGAATGCAGGCGTTGATAAGCGTAGAGGGGCTAGAAAGAGAAGTTAAGGTCGGTAGGCAGAACAGGGGGGGGGGTTTGGGAAAGATAGTAAGTACTTCTTATATCAACCACAGGCTCCCGTGTTTCTTACTTTTTTTGAGTAGTATCCCATTCCTCTATGCCATTCCCGCATTCACTCTATCCGTCCAACAAGCTCTCTCTCCCATTGGTAGGCAGAAGACAGGGGTTTTGGAGGGAACTACTAAAGGTGTGTATAAGCCCTACATACAGTGTATGTGTCCCTCCAGCCCAGCTGAGCTTCGCTATGAACTAATAGACTGAAATTAGCATATAATGAAAGATGGATTATAAGTACGGTGAAACCAGTATCCCAATTGTTAAGTCAACCATAAGGAAATCGGCACACATGAATGACTTTAATTCAATACTTCCCCCGGAAACTCTACAATAATTGGTTTAATCGATCGGTCTGAGGTCTGTGCCCTGTCCACAAAATCCTTTAATGAGATAGATCGGTCCCTGGAATATGTCGTACTCTTCCCGTCCACAAATGACTTTCTTGAATTAGTTCCTCTATCTTTCTTGCCTTGTAGCAGCAAGAAGTACACGTGAATCGATTTCTGTAATTCAATATACCTTCCCTTCGAGATCTCTTTTGAAGGTGCAAAATCTATAAAAAATAGATGTGGAATCCGCTTATGGTATTGGAATTTTTGAAAACATTGGCTCAATCCGTCCACGGTTATTTTATTGTGAATCCTGCCTTCGCCTTTTTGTTAGCAGCTCTTCGATCAACCCAGGAAAGAGTACCAGAGGCCATGTTTTCTAATCCAAAAGGTCACTTTCATGGCTTGAATGGGTCAAGATAGGACCTTTCAAAAGGATCGTTTTTTGGGCTTGATTTTGAAGCGTAGTTTTCCACTCTATTTTCTACTATATATATAACAAGGAGTGGAGCTGGAGAATCTCCCTCCCCGGCTAGGCTACTACGTTTTCTTGTTTGAAATTCCAGGTCTGGTCTTCATTGGTATTTGCTTTTTGCTCACCGACTACGTTTTTTTCTTTTTAGTTCTTCCCCCGCCCGGTCGAGCTGTCTGAGGTCGATGGTGCATCCGGTAAGCTCTTTCGGTATTCATCTCCGGAGCCCGGTCAGATGCTTCAATCCTTCATTCATATTCCGTCTCAATATCTTTCTTTTTTTCAAGTCTATATTGCGAGTTTACAGCTCGAATGTTTGACTAGTCTTCTCCTCCCATGTGATAAATGGGCGGTCTCCCCTAGACCTTATTCCGTCTAAGCTCTCATAGCATTCGTCTTTCTTCCTTCTCTGCTGTACATCTGTATTCTTTCCCTCGCTTTATAGAGATCTTGGCTTTCTGGTTTTTTGTTTCTTTGGTCAGGGGGTGCTGTGGAGAAAGAATTTAGGAAACCAAGCATGTAATAAGCGGAAATCAATACACAGGAAAGGAGTTGTACACGAGTTTGGTAAAGCATTCACCTTTCGGTTGTACATCGACCTGTCGGGAAACTCGAAAGTCTCCCGCAAGCGTCCCTTCTTAGGTCGGCATTTGGCTTTGGCCTTGCTTGTTCGGTTTTGGCTCATTCTTTAATATGTTGTATCTTGCCATGTCTGCTCCGTCTGTTGGTATAACATATATGTCTTCTCTGGCAATAGCCAATCAAGAAGCCAAAGCTGGAGCCAAGCCGGCACACCGGGCGAGGAATCCCTTACTTGTTCGGCTGGCGGATGCCGTTCTTGCTCTTTATGAAGATGCAGATGCAGTATAATACGAAAATTTATAAGCCAAGTTCGGTACACCAAGCCGTTACACAAATCTCTTTGTTTCAAATAGGTTATCCCATATCGGCCGGCCAATCAACAAAGATCTGAAGAATGACCACTTTTTGAGCCTACGAAAGGAAATTCCATTAGAACATATAACAGAGGCGTGAATGGGGGAATACGATACCATAAGGAGGAATTCATAGAACTTCATATTCTACTACCCGAAGGAGGAGGTATATGGCAATAGCCAAGTTTACGATAAAAGAATAGGACAAAGGTATATATTAAAAGTCTGAAGTCAAGGTAGCAAGACGGTATGAAATTGTTACACGAGCAAGCTAAGTCCATTAGAGTTCATTTAGTCGAGCCTTTAAGAGCCATGCGAAAGCAATATCATGAACGTACGAGAGGAAGATGAACATGCTCCAAGTAGGCTTTTTTTCTACTTCTTATATCTTATAGTTATAGTAGCTCCGCGGATCCGCCCTTCGAGCGATGGTATAAGGAAAATGTGTATTCCAGAAAGCACATGAAAGAACGAAATAAAGAACGTACCGAAGGAGCATGGGGTTTCGGGGGGGACTTATGCTTTTATTAAGGTTTAATACTCTTTGTGTTAGGCCCCCCCTATGCTAGTTACTAACTTAGGTACCTAGCCCAGAATCCAGAATCCATCGAAAAAATCAAAGATAGTAATGCATTCTTAGAACAAGCATATCAGCAAATCAGCTACGTTACCCTTTTTCGCTTTCAAGATTTCTATCTTTGTTTCGTTTCGCTTTTTGTTGTTGTTGGTTCCCATTTCATTTTTTGAGATAAATCTTGTTTTTTCTTGCTCTTCTTTTAAATCCTGGTCTTGTTTCAATTGTAGTTCTTCGGTTGAGTTCGTTCTTTTATTCAAATACATCCCATTTCAGGTTAGCTCTCTGCTCGGGATGCATGGGCGTCCGTCCTTCATTCCCATCCTTTATGTTATGTAAAAAGAGACTTCCCCTCCCACTCTCCAATATAGGGGACCTCTATCGAGCATCTCACATCTGTCTGTATCGTCGGTCGTATTTCTTTAGTAAGAGGACGTGTTAAAGCAATAAATATCATAGATCTCAGGCGAGAGGTAGATCCACGTGCGAAAAAATGTGTTATTTCATAGGGGAATGATACCTTACTTAAAATAAGGAATTAGTGGAATATGCCAGAAAGAAAATAGAGGAGCGGGGCGGACATCGGCACGTGCGTGGAGGCTAGGGCAGGTAAGTTCACATAAGGGTCTGAGCTCATATGTCGTACTCTATCATTGGCATGGGCGGCATCGATTCATTCGATTACATTTTACTCTTCAAAATCCATCTATGGATTCCCGGAGCTGGTTACACAAAAATCCACTTTTATTCGATATCCGAGTCGAGCTGGGATAACTTTGATTATATGATATGCCCTCTTTCTGAGCCAAGAAGGCATGTTTTCGCGCTTTCATATAGAGAGGAACCCCCGAGAATATACTTTATTTCACGCCTATAGAAGAAATTGAAAAAAAGTAGAGGATGATGATTTGAATGGGGATTTACAGAAAAATTTCCATTCTTATTTGAGTACCTAGGGAGGGAAGGATCCCGAGCGTAGAACGAGAAGAGTAAAGTAAGAAATAAGAGTTATATTGGCACGTACTGGAAAAATCTATCTTTGTTTGGTCAGTACATCAGCGAAGCCTTTCCCATTTCCTCTTTTTCAAATCATTCTTTTGCCAGTTGTTGTTGGAAACATAGGAAGGCCAGAGGCCCCCTGTATTTAGAATTTCGTATATATGGGCATCCTTATTAGTTTAGTCCAAACTAAACTGGAGTTAAAACTCTGGTAGGGAGGTCATATCTCTGTCTCGAGAAAATGCTTTCTTTTGAGCCGCAGGGTCGAGGGGGTCGTGAGACCCTCGAAAAAGGACTCTCTTATTGGCGTATAAACGGAAAAAAAAATCAATCCAATGCAAGTATGGCTTTCAAGCTTGTCCCCCTGTTGCCTTAAGCCTGGAGACCGGAGGTGCTTGCAGACCGGAGGTCGCGGCTGCTTGCTTTCTAAGGTAAGGTACGAACTAGTGCTGGTAAGTGAACGAACCTGTGAATTCTCGCGGCAGGCGTTCTCGAGGTCTTTGGTCCAGTTCAAGCAAGGGAAGGACAGACTGGACTGTTCCCTCGTGCTTCTCCCTTTAGGGGTGAAAACCTTCCTGACCGGAGTGCCGTTCACTCTACTTCTCCTGGCGGGAAGTACTTGTTCCCTTCACCAACCAATCTTCGGATTCAAAAATCGTATGTATATAAGCATAGAAAGCGCACCGTTTTGATATGGCAGTTGAAAATATATCTGGAGAGTTGCTCACTCCAACGAGCCTAGGCGGCCTAGGTGGACTTTGTCCACTTCCTATCAAAGCTCGAGTCTCCGGACTTGAAGAAAAGAAAACGGTGCCCACGAGACGGCTTATGGTGTTGCACAGGAAAGTCTGCTGGGCAGCAGAAACTCCGTAATTAAGATCCTGAAGCGCTTGCCCGCAAAACCTTAAATTTTGGAAGGTAGGTTGCTTGACATACTGTGACGGTGGCTCCATACGGGATCGATCTTCTTGTCATATTCGTTTAATACCATTCTGACTCAGAAAAATTTCTCTTGCAGTTTTCAAGCCAATCGTTTTCTCGCTCGGAGCTGAATGAAGGTATTTCCTTTGGCTAGACGGAGTGGAGTGACGCGAAGTTCCTTTCAAAAGTCTTTTATTATAGCCTTATTTTTGCTCCTGATTCGTGGGGGGTCGTGGAAGAATTGGGTTCGACTCCCATAGCCCCGATGTGGCGAAAAAGACTGATTCAACGAGATATGCCTTGCCTGCATTAAGATTTAAAACTTGTCGTCTACTTTCAGGAAATGTTCGGAACAGAGAACTTACAATAATACAACGCCGCATTCTCCGAAGATTGAGGAACAAGAAGAGATCTATTAAGAGAAAGATTTATCCGAGAAAAAATCTTAACAGTTACATCCAATCACAAACTACACGAAAGTTGCCCCTTTTTCATGGGGATTTACCCATCACAGAGATGCACAGAGGAACAGAGCGAACTTCATATATCCCTTTTCCACTCAATCCAGAAACAAGATCGGACGTTATTCTGGTTCGTCTCCATTTTTGTGAAACTATTCCTCAAGCAAGGCAGCCGATAAGTCATCGAAGGGTTTGTGTGAATAATGGAATGGTAAGCATTACTCATTTTAAAGTGTCCCACGGTGATTTAATATCTTTTCAAGAAAATGACGCGAGAATCCGCGGTGAAGAAATAAGGAGATCTTTCTATATCGAAATATCAGTTGAAAAAATCATAGGCAAATTCCTGGATCACCCGGTAAGAATGTGGAGAAGAACAAAAACAGAATGGTTCCACCTACTCAAAACTCAGAGGGGATGCCGCCTACTACTAAAATCCCGGTTTTTGCAACAGTTGCGCTCTTCTATGCAAGAAGAAGACTTAGAAAGAACAAAGAAGTTTGGATCCGAAAAAGTATGCTTAGGCAGTTCCTTCGCTGAGCACAACAGAATGAAGAGGAATTTGTATCATTTCAAATCCCTATTCTTATCGAAGAGAAGGAACGAGAAAAACCGAAATCTTCCTACTCGAACAAGAAGTCCTATAGTTTACAACTCTTCTTTATATAGAAATTCGACCTATTGCTCCGCATCCCCCCATCAGTTTACTATGAAGAGAAGAATCAAAAGGATTGAACTACCTACTCATTATTCGGAGGTGAATCATAGAACACCAAAAGCTGTGGTATCTTATGGACCTAACATAGGTCACATCCCTCACGACATAAGATTGAAAGATCTAAACCTTCCTCTTCGGAGCGGAAACGGACGTGGCCAAAACATATAAAGATCGGCGTAGTCGCTCATAGGGACATATCTATCCGGATAGAGGATAGTCTAGATCGATTCATAGATAGATTTCTATCCATATAGATAGGTATCTCCGTGGGTAGAGATAAAGATAGGGATCCATCTAGATCTTGATTCACTATTTCCATTTTTTTTTCTTGATTCTGATTATTGATTGCCTTTTTGTGACGACAAGTTTTAAATCTTAATGCAGGCTGGAAACATCATTTTTCAATTATTACTTGCTGGGTCGGAGCGTAGACGAGCGAGTAGAGCCCAGGAAACAGGGAAGCCCGTCATAGAGCAGTCGACTAGAAGTAGAAGACTGCTGGCCTGAGAGAAGGCGGCCTCTCCCGGGAAACATGGCCCAATTTCTCTTCTTTCTTTTTTATTTCGGGTTTCTTTATTTTTTCAGGGGCCCAGAACGCTAAAGGGTAGGGGAGAAGCAAGCCGAACCTCTGATCGACCTGGACACATAAAAAATTCTCGGCGTCGAGAGATATTTGAGATTCCGTAAGTAACTTAGTGCAACATGGCAAATTTCATTGAGAGGAATCAGCAAAGAAAAGAAAAACGGGTCACAACATATTATTAAGATTTGATCGTTGCATTACTGTATAGAAAAAGAAAAAAGAAATTGCGTATGAAATACGCCCAAAGACTCCCATGCCTTTCTTGGTTGGACCAACCAGATTTCCGAAAAGTCTTTCTGTTAGAGCAAGAAGCGGAACTACAAGTGAATCTTAATAGAAAGCTTATGATGAGCATCTATTTGAGTCGATCATTTCCAAGATCTAATTCAAGTTTTTTCTTATGTAGTGGAAATGCCTTACAATCTGAAGTTTTACGCTTAAGGGAAGAAATGTTCTTGGTGGATGCAGGACCTGGGACCCCCAGAATTTGTATGCAAGATGAGCCTACAGGAGTGCCAATCAACCGAGCCGCCAGGTTTGAGAATAAGGTGGGATCCCTGGATGTAGTGGCCGGTGAATCACTGATCAAAGAGCAGATTTTGGAGAGATTCTTCATCGATGTAGTGGCCGGTGAATCACTGATCAAAGAGCGAGCAGCCGCCAGGTTTAAAAATTTGGTGGGATCCACAGATGTAGTGGCTGGTGAACCGCTTCTTCTTCTTCCGCGAAGATTCAGACAAAACCGAGCTTGGATGGAACTGAACAAGATTTGGCGAACGAATACAAAGGTAAGGGGCTTTTTATTAAGAAAGTAAAGGGCGGGTATTCAGTAGCCATCGCGGGTTTCCTTACCTTTCTTCCATTCCGTCGAAGAAATTTTTCGAGTGCTCGATTCACCATTGAGAGGATTAACCTCAAAAGGAAAAGGACGAATATTGTGGTGTTACAACAGCGGCGGATCAAACAAGAACTTATTTGTTTCTAGATGAATTTGTTTCAACAACCGATCCTTGTCCGTGCGTGGAAGGAGGAGAGTTGTAGCCGGATCGAACTCCCTTGACCTCTGAAGCGCTTGGACATAGGATTTCCGGCCAGGGTGGTAGCGCTTTTCCAACCAATTCCTCAAAAGGGCTAAAAAGCTCCTCTATCCCTTCAACCTTCTCGGGAGGTGGGATGCCCCATAAGCGCTTTTACCTTTTTTTATACACCTTCCCATCCATCAATGAAAAAATTTCTTATGTAGTATCTAAGGAACTCGACCCCAACTCATCTATCCCGACCGAAGCTGACCGTTGAACCTCCAAAAACAGGACCGGGTGCTCCTGTCTTCTCTTCCCAATGGGAGGAATCACCCTGCTAGGAGCATCTGTAGCGGCATCAGTAACGAGGGAAAGAGAGGCGGAAGGCGCCCCGATAGAGAAGGTGAAACCTTCCAAACTATGAATAAAATCCCTCATTGGATTGGCCAGTAGAACTTCGAAGCTTATCGGGCCTTCTCTTGTAAGCTAGCTCCATTCGATCGATCGCTTCCGTTCGGAATAGATTAGTTGGGAATTGGATGCTCTGCAGTGAAGGGCCTAGCTGCTAAAGCAGTTGATCCACTCGATAGGGCGGGAAACGGATAGAGATGAAGATGCAGAGTCTGATGCGCCTCTCATCCCGGTGAAGAAGAGGTGGGTTTCCTGGGCCCGGTCGGAGCTTCCTATCTCTCATTCGTTCGTTCCCCCTGGAGTAAAGTCATCGGAATCGGGGTTTGGTTCCGGTGGCCTCATATCTCCTACCCAATTTGAAGGTGGGTCAATGGACATTAGATACGTGATAACACTTGTGGTTTCGGTGAATCGCCTTCACTCTCGGGGTTCAGTACCTGCCTCTTGGTGTCCAATACCCAGTGATGGGAGAAGGAGTGGGAGACGAAGAGAGAGAAGATGGTTGCTTAGCAGCGGAAGCTGGGGATCGAGAAGCGGAGGGAGAGCTTAGGCTTGAAATGGAGCTAGGATACCGGTATTTTTCCCTACCTGGATCCGAGTCTTTCTCTTCTCCTGGACCGAGCACCGAGACCGAGGAAAGAGAGGCTGGATACGAGTCTGATGAGATCAGAGCCAGTGAAGAGAAGAGGGAAGGCTGACTCTGCTAGGCTGGCTTGCTTGTTCGACTAGAGCACATAAATAAGGTAGCTTGCTTACTTAGTGCGAAACGCTAAGGCCAATTAAGCAACGTTAATGGACCGTATAGCTCGTTTAGACCGTTAGACACGTTAGGCCTCTTAGCCAAGGTCTTACAGGTATGCCTCGTATGCTCGGTATGAAACTTCTTCCTTATGCCCTTCTTTAGCTATTACGCTCGTTAGCATGTTATTAAAGGAAAGTATTACTGTGATATTCCTATCTATCTCTATCTGGCCAAGGAAAGATCTCTAGTTAGCCCTACTATTATTGGAACTAGGCGGCTATTAGGAGAAGATGATAGACCTATAGATATTATCTTAGAAGCACTCTAAAATGAGAAACTTAACATTAACAAATGAAATATCAGATTAGGGCCTTTACCCTGGCCTGCTCTAGCCCTTTATCTAGCTGGCTTTCCTTCTTTCCCCATCGAAAGCAACTCAAATAAGAGAATAGTCCTAGCCTGCCCCAGCTCTGGATCTTTGCCTTGGCTTGGAAAAGACTGCAGACTTGGGAGATACTAGAGCTTTTGGTACTCACACTATGGTATGGCCAACAGGTCGGGCTGGCAGGCAACTTCCAACGACATGTAAGGCGCCAGCAACTCAAACCCCATGTAAAGATATCCATCTGTTAGCTAGAGCCCTACCAGAGACAGAAAGAAATTTACTGGGTGGTAAACAAAATACCGTTACACCTACCCTTGCCCTTAGCTTGCTTGGTGGAACTTGATTGAATGAGCTGGATTACAGGGAAGGCTCAATCGCTGGAAGGAAAGTCTCACGGGATGTAACAGAAGTCCCACGGGATAGAGGGCAACTCATACTGTAATTGGATAAACTTACCACTTCCACTATATGTATAGCCCTTAGTACTATCAAGAAAAGCATTCTTCGAAACTCGGATGGATATGGATATCGAATGGAAGCACGACTAACACAGGCTTTAAGAAAGACGAAGACTTGCTTTCCTGGCTTGCGTAAGAGAACTGCTTTCTGGCAGGGAACTAGCTAAAAGAGAAGCTCGCCTGGAAACCTCGTATGGGCCACCGGTAACTGGCAATGGTTCGCAGGTAGCAGGACTTTTTTTTAGGATTGTATGGAAGCACTTACCAATGAAACTGGCTGGCTTTAAAATTCCTGCTTTAAATGGAAATACTCCTCCAATCCAAGGTCCAAGGGGCGCAGCGGGAGACAACTAAAAACACTTCTACTCGGTGAGGGACTTATACTTCTCCTGGGGCTATCTACTCCAACTGGATGGCCAATGGCTGGAAATGGGTAGGAGGGAACTGCAACTCAAACCCCAGTAAGGCGGCTATGGCTGCATGAAATATAGGCTAGAAAAAAATAAGAAGTCCTCTTGAGCCACCCACCCTTAGCTTGTTTGGTTTGGACCCTTACGTTCGGTACACTCGTTAGGAAGCGAAGGGCTATAAAAAGGACTGCTTTCCAACTCACTAGCTTTAAAGTAAGGCTCTCCTAATGGCTCGTATTCACCTCTTCCCTCGGCTGGAACTACCACTCAAACTAGATCGCTGACAGAAGGAAGGTAACTATAAGGGCTTAAAACTGGCCTGGTAAGAGACTCCACTCCAATGAGAACTCAAACTGGATCGAATGCAGGGGTTTCCTATTGCAGACTTTGACTAGATGACTCCAACGGGCTTAAAAAAACACTAAAAATGGAGGGGATTATCTTAGCACTGCTTATGAATAGGCAACTACTGGAACTGGACATTAAAGGAAGGGAATCGTGTACTGAGCTAGCCTGCCTTGAACTTGAAGTAGGTAGTCTCTCCTATATCTGATAGCTTTAACTGGCCACTACAAAGAAATTGCCATAGATCGAAACTTATTCCAGGCTTAGTATCCCCCCTATAAAAGAAGACGAGTCATAAAGGCAAATATCTAACAATTTCAGGGGGGCACATCCAAACTGAATAGTACTCGCAGGTTCTCTTTTCCATATGTTCTTCCCGATGCCCTATCCGACAGCCGTTAACCGCCTTGCAGGGAATTCCTTACTCAAAAGTATGAGAGTGCGGCATAGCAAGAGCTTCCTACCTCCTTCTAACGCTTATCTCTTTTCTTGCTTCCTTGCTTTAATCCAATAGGCCGAATTCCTTGCTTGCATCCCTTTGATTGCTTAGTATCTCCTCCTTGCCGCACTCTTCTGGTACAAAGCAAAGGACTGGACTGCAAATTTTTTATATAAAGAAGAGTTCTGTCTTTCTTCATTCAAGTAAGATAGTTTATCGAGAAACCTCCGCCCAAAGGTGCTTTTTTGAAAGCCGGTCACCGGTGGCTAAGAACCTTTCCTCACTCTAGAAGCCTTCAACAAAGGCCACTTGATTTTCTTGTTCGTAAGGGGCGTTGTATATCTATATTGGACTTTCGATTTTGCGTTGTTTTTTTTTCACGAGGTTTTGTATATAATCCAATGTTCAGTGAGATGACTTTCCTACTGACCGAATCGCTTGAGTTAGTTGAAGGAAACGAGGCTTCCGGCCCGGCTGGTCCCACTACTGGCGAGGAGAGTTTTGACTGCGAGAGGCGCGTCTGATGGTATCGTATATAAGATCACGGCTGCATTTAGGAGTGATCTTTCCCTCTTCAACAAGCCGGCGGTGATCTCACTTTCGAAAGAGAGTCTCGACGTGGCGGTATACACGTAGCTCCATAGCGGGGCTAGTCATTGGCTACTGGTTTCTTTCCTACCGGACCGGAGGCGGCCGAGAATGTTATGTCAAAAGGACCGACGACGATGGGAGAAGGAGTAGGAGCGGTATGCTCAAAATAGAATGAGAATGATTACGAGATAGAACGGATCTCCTTGAATTCATTCATCACGTTTTTAACGTGGATAACGAGGCGCTGCCGCAGGCGGCAGATCCACAACATACTGCAACTCACGAGGCGCTGCCGCAGGCGCCAGCACCGGCGGAAGTTGCCCACCCCGCTCCCGATCAAAACGAGCGTGCGGCACTTCTAAGGGACATTCACACTTTGATTCGGGAGCAACTTCGCGAATATTGTGCAAGGGGGAAAGGGGGGCTCGCGCACTCGCCGGAAATGCTGGAACTATACTCCAGTAGCGCGAAGGCAATAATGTCTTACGATCTGGATATCCCCGCGGAGACAGATACGGAAACCCCCCGCAGATGGGTGGGAGAATATAAGGGGGGACCCTAATCTCCTAAAGCCACTCATTAGGGAATACCGGTCAAATTAGTCTGTCTGCCGCTTTCTTTCATAACAGAGCCGTTATTCCCGGCTGGCATAGAAGTCTCTCGTGCGGGCGAAGGAGATGCATTTCTGGTACTGGTGGTACTGGACAAGCTCTCAGGGAATAATCTCTTTCTTATTTCTGCCTTTCTTTCCCATGACGACTAGGAACGGGCAAATCAAAAATTTCACTTTGAATTCCGGACCTCAACATCCTGCTGCTCATGGTGTTTCACGATCAGTATTGGAAATGAACGGAGAAGTGGTGGAACGTGCGGAACCACATATTGGATCACTCCAGTGCGGCACGAAGCCGCTGACGCCGAGTCGGCTCCTATGCCGCTAGCTATGCCCTGCTTGGTCCCCCGGCACGGTGGAGATTCCGTAGCGCGTCATGAGCACCGGGCTAAGGGGCGGTTG